CAACTTTTCACTACAGTTTTATGCAGCCAATATTTGTACTAGAAAAAAAAATTGTAATTCCAAAGTAATATTTCCATGACCTTTTGTCTTTACTTTTAAGCCCAGTTGGCACATTAATACCAGCCTACACATTATCATCACAGCAAATGCTGTCTCAGAAATACCAGGACTCAGAAAATCATCATTTACACAGAAGAGTATAAAATGACACTATTGGTTAAAAGATAAGGCATATTGAAAGGATTTTTCATGTGGCATTTTAATGTGATAATTAATTCCTAAAAGTCTGAGTTTCAGTCCTCATATAAATAAGTGGATGCTAAATAGGCCATCCATAAAGACTCCCCTTGTTAAAATACAAATGAGATATCCCTTATGTTTATACATGTGTAAGTACAATTAATATTGCAACCCAACTGGAAACAAAATTGCTTTAGTTAACCAACCATTGCAAGGCAATCTAATGTGGTATCAAATGTAATTGTAGAAGATCCATTTGGGGAATAACAGCAATTATTTCATACAGATTTCTCCCCTCCTTCTTCCAATTCACGTACAATTTTTTTCATGCATCTCTATGCCAGAAAAATAATTGTACCATCACAAGTGTCAAAACCACTCCCCTTTCACTCTGCAGCATACAAGAAAATTCAAACTGACACGGCTGTTTCATTTAGAAATATTGGTTTGTACCTCTGATTTGTAACTGCATTAATCTAAAAACATTTAAGTAGGTTTTATTTCTCCAGCTGGACATGCAGCCAGGGAATTGGGCAATACCAATGGAGTAGGAAGCAGAGAATGGCATTTCTTTATTTGCCTGAAGCTAAGCACTTTGGATTTGCCTTCATAAACTTCACAAATATTCTCTAAAGACTTAATAGTTTTCTAACAGGTAAGTATTATTTTAGGGCTGTAGATGTAAACTGCAGTTCAGACATTTTAATTGACTTTGTGCTTAATCCGGAAACAACACATGTTACAATCCAATATTAATGATTTTTTTTTCCTTTTTCACTCAGAAGACATTCAGTGTTCTTAATTATTATTCTTAATTAATATTCCTTTTAATAATTTTGCACTTTTTAATAAATTAATTAGTAATTGCCAAAATTATTTTGATATTTAATTATCAATGCAAAGTACCAAAATGCATTATGATCTTTATTTCTGTCACTTAATAAAAAGAATATATATAGCCCCCAGTGTCAATTTATGTATTTAGAAAGCTATGAAAGATAACAGAAGGATAGGAATATGAAAATACTTTAGCTAACACTAGGTATTTGCTGTTCAGTAAGCTGCTGGGTCACAGCTTCCCAGGTTCAAATTAATATCAATCAGAGATTTCTATGTTCGTGGCTATTTTTGGTTTTGGTAAACCTGAACAGATTATTCCAGATAAAACCAAACTAAAATTTAAAAATTCTTAAACTTTGGTAAAGATTCCCTTAACTATTGATCCTGGCAAGATCATGGAGCAGATCCTCCTGGAAACTATGCTAAGGCACATGGAGGATGATAGGGAGGTGATTTGAGGCAGCCAACACGGCTTCACAGAGGGCAAATTGTGCACGGAAAATTTGGTAGCCTTCTACGACGGGGTTATAGCATCAGTGGAGAAAGGAAGAGCTACTGACATCATCTACCTGGACTTGTGCAAAGCATTTGATACTGTCCCACGCAACATCCTTTTCTCTAAAATGGAGAGATGTGGATTTGACAAGTGGACCACTCAGAAAAGGAATTGGCTGGATGGTCACACTCAAAAAGTTGCAGTCAACAGCTCAGTGTCCGGGTGGAGACCAGTGATGACTGGTGTCCTTCAGGGATCTGTACTGGGACCAGTATTATTTAACAACTTTGTTGGGGACATAGGCAGTGGGATTGAGTGCACCCTCAGAAAGTTTGTGGATGACACCAAGCTGAGTGGTGTGGCTGATGATACTTTATAGGGAAGGGATGCCATCCAGAGGGACCTTGGCAGGCTGGTGAGGTGACCCCATGTGAACCTTGTGAAGTTCAACAAGGCCAAGTGTAAGGTCCTGCATGTGGGTCGGGGCAATCCCAAACATGGATATAGGCTGGGCAATGAGTGGATTGAGAGCAACCCTGTGGAGAAGGACTTGGTGGTGTTGGTGAATGAAAAACTGAATATGAGCCAGCAATGGGCACTAGCAGCCCAGAAAGCCAGTCACATCCTGAGCTACATCAAGTGTGGCCAGCAGGTCGAAGGAGGTGATTCTGCCCCTCTACTCAGTCCTCGTGAGACCCCACGTGGAGTACTGTGTTCAGCTCAGGGGCCCCCAGCATAAGAAAGACATAGACATGCTCGAGCGGGTCCAGAAGAGGGCCATGAAAACCCAAAACTTAAATTTTCACTTTTGTTTTTCTTTGCTTGGTCTTCTTGAAGTAGCTGGAATTTAATATACTGCAGTACTACAAATATTGGAAGAAATTCTACTCTCATTCAATTACAAATAGTAGAGAAAAGGGATTTTAGTAGATGTGGCTTTGTGTTTCTGTCAATGGTTTAGTCCCAACTTTTTTTCTAAAAGGTAAGCAAATTCCCTCCTTTAGACAATTCTGACAGTCTTTAGATTAAATTATTAGCTGAAATAACAAAAATGAGGCTGTGGGATGAAATCTGGATCTTCAAAGATTTTTCCCTGTACTAGCTAATTTCAAAAGACCGTATCTGAGGATGCTGAATTTTTATTATACTGCAACATTAACCTGCAAATAAAACCTTTAAAAGTCTTTACAAGAAGCCTACACACTTCTATTGCTGCAAACTGCACAATAAACATTCATATTTTGAATAAGGTGTTAGAACAGGCACTCTGGCAGTCTTTTGATTGACACATCCCTTGTAGCTCCATATAGACCTTGGTATTATGGCCAGCCCTCTTTGCCCTTCCTCTTTTGGATTTGTTCCACTATAGTCAGCTCATATATACTTCCCCAGAAGGAATGTTTGTGATATTTTCTCCTTAAAACTTCATAGGCTATTATTCGGCTGCAATATGACTGTCAAGGGCATTGCTGATCGTGAGCTCATTAGAAGCAGAAATAGATTGTCCCAAAGAGTTTCTTTCTGCAGTGACTCATGTGCAATGCTGCTGGAAGGGCTTTCATCACCCAAAACCAAATCCTGGACAAGAAATAAACCTCATACAGCATGATGTAGACCATTCATAATGCTATCAGAAGTACTTTAAGAACCCCCATCCACAGAAAGTTTTACAGTATATCTTCTATTTTCCATCACAGCCATTAGGAGAATGAATCTTCCAGTGAAAATTAAGTTTATCAGAAAGATCTGTGTGCAAACTAATTTGAGCAGGCATTTTCTAAAAAGTAGGCCGGAAGAGAAGAAAGATTACTTCTGGCAAAAATGGAGCAAATTAAATTATAAGAGGCTTAATACATTTATTTGAAATTTAATTGCATAACCTAATGTCAAGGTTATTATACAGTGCACACTGTTCTCATCCAAATTCAAAACAGTAAAGCACAAGCTCAGTTTGCAGTTACTTTATTATAAATCCAACCACATTTTTTTTCATTTTATTCTGACCATAGCCTTTGCCTGAGCCACAACATTAATATAAAATCACATTTCAAAATTACTTTGAGATCTCTCCTCGGCAATGAATTCTGATAAGACCAGAAGCCTCTCTGATATGACTGACTTCTACTGCAAGTAAAGGGCAAAAAGAAAACCAAAAGCTGAAACGGTGTTGTTGATACGATGCCAGTGTGTACAGTAAGAAGCAAAACGATTCGAAAGAGCATCTGACTGTATTCACACTGTACTGCACTGAGTCCCTCAAACCTGCAGGCTTTGTTTTCTATTCAAAACAGAGACAGATTAGCAGAAAAGGTCGCGGTGGCATTCTCATTATTGCATGCCTATGGAATATGCATTCTGTGTTTTACTGTGTATTAGAAGCTGTGCCTGGGCAGAGAGCACACTTAAAAGCTTTCAGGTTGTGTCCAGACCCTCTTTGCACTCCTAAAAGCCAGTCACTCTTACCTGAATTATTTGGCCTGACCTTTGGGGGTTTTTTTGTATGTTTGTTTTCAGATCTCCAAGTGTCTGATGAACACTGGATCAGAAAGGGCATTATAGAAAACCATTGTGCATTTAACTGTGTGCCACTATGATTCTAGTGGATGTGCAAACACAGTCTAGGTTTGTAGCAGCATCACGTAAAAGCACTGTCTGCTTTTATTTCTAGAGGAACAGGCAATGAAGGCATAATAAATGACTTTGACACTTAGCAGGGAACTGTAGCCTAAAATTAACAGGCTTATAATCAAGCAGCACAATATTAACTTGGCTTGATCGGTAATAAAGAATTAATGTTGTACATTTCACAATCATCTCACTTGTCTTTCAGTAAAGTCTGAAATGATTGAAGAAGATAGTTTAGTGTTTGACCAGGTTAGGGCCTCTTTCAGTAGTACTAGAATATTGAAGAGATGCAGTTATTAAAGTATGGAAAAGGATTCTAAAAAAATAGTCTATGACTCCCAATATAGTCAGTCATGTGGATAACCGAATCCTTCTGTATTAAGCTTTTTCCTGCTTTTTTCCACCACATAAGCAAAAAACCAACCTGTAAAAATCTCTTCTATGATTCTGTGTTTCAGTGCTTGGAGTAGCACACTTTTAACAGGTAGTAACCATCACTCAGATGTCTTCTCTGTAACCATTCCTTGTATGTCAAAACAAACAGATCTCTTGTGTACACCTTAGAGCTACATCCCTGCGGCTGTGAAGCTCCCTATGAATTTCTGAAGTGAAAAGTCCGCTTTATTCTCTAGACACCCAGACTGAGACTCTGTTTACTGAATAAAATAAAATGCCCATTCATAGTCAATGACTCCTTCCGTGGTTGATATATAAACACCATGTTTGTAAGAACACAGACAACATTTCAAAGAGGAAAAGTCCAAGAAGGTTAAAAGAAGAAAAACTGAAACTTACTTACCCCAAACTCATCCCTCCACTGATGTGATGCTTGGTACTTCTCTGCTTCTTTAGCGAGGCGCTGAAGACCAAAGAGAGAGAGGACATACATTTTAGTCTTTACTGATTCTTCACATAGCAAAAAGTCTTTCCTTTTTAGTTTCTTCATATACATGTGTTCTCTATATAATTTTCTATGTATGTATGCTTTTTTGCACTTACTTGAAAATTATGTATATTTGAGTAAAGCACCATCTCATTTCAAAAATGCTTTCTCTATTATTTTCTTATTTAAGTACTGTAATCATGCATTAGAAAACTTAACCCTCATTCCAATGTCATTTAAGAAGTTCTAGTTAAATTCAAAATCCATCAATATCCTTCTGAAAATACTTTCTCCTTACACGCACTGCTTTGCCTTATATGTATTAATTTAATCTACCATCGAATGACAAGTATTTATTAAAATCTGAAAACACTGTATTATGGACATTTATTTCTCCATTAAATTAGTTAACTTCAATTATAGGAAGTACTGACATCCCCTGTGACTATTAGGGACCCATAAAAACTCAGTAATTTGGACTAGCAGTAGTCTGGTCCCATGGACTGAATACACATCAGCAGTTGGAGAGTAACAGGCATGCTCCGAGAGGGCATTTTTCCCATTTAAATTAAATTGACAGAAATCCAGTTTGTCCACTTAGCCCCATGGGTAGGAATGATCAGATGATGTTCTTGCACATCAGTCTCTTTTACGGACACATCCATTGGGTTGGTGACATGTCTCTCCTCATACAAAATTATAAGTCTTTGAAAAAGCAGCCATTTGTACATGCTTACGAGGAGTTTACTACAATTTTGCATACAAAAGTTGCCAAGCATAATGTGTGTTCTCCAGCTGAGCTGCACAGCATCCCCAGTGCCGGCAGCCTTGGAGGCAAGCACCCATCCTGAAAGCAAGCAAGCTCACCCAGAAGCAGCAGCTACCTGATGTGAATGTAGTTCATGTGGACTCAGCCATGTCCTAATTGTTGAGTGGCTTACTTTGAGAACTAAATTATTGCATAAGCCAATAAAAATTTAGCAACTGTTTCTGGGAAGTCATGGTCCCTTTCTAACAGAAATAGCCTGGCTATATCCACCAGATAACTAGGGATAAAAACTCTTTACCATGTAACAATATGGGCACAGTAAGCCTGAGGGTCATTTTAATATTCAGAACAATTCCTACATAAAATGAACTGGTGTTCTAAGTCACATTTTCAGTTGAGTCACCTGTTAGTTCTTGCTAACAACCAAAAGGAATATGACCAGAAAGTTCAGGTAGTCTCAGAAAGTCTCTGCTCTGGATCCGTAGAGACGGTGCTGCCAGAATCTCCCCTCAGCCCCAGGCTGGGATGGCAACCACTATGTTATCTGACCCCATGAGGGCACTCCCACTTCCCTCTCTAACAACTATCAGGATGATAAATTTCACAAAGCAAAACTTAGGATCTTTTCCATTCTTTTACATTTGCAATCATCCTATATAAACAAAAAAACCTCAATAAACCTGTGTGCTCTGCTGCCAGAAAATAAGTGTCCTCACTCATGCGTTTTATTGTCAATTCAAATGATTCTTAGCTAATAGAAAGCTACTAGCATCTTACAGGCATTGCCAACTGGAGGTACCCTCCACAGCAGCCAAGTACCACATTTACAAAAGAAAAACTATGATATAATTTGATGCATTACACTGGGAAAAAGCACAATACAACTCTCCCTTGACCACACTGGACAAACACCTCAGATACCTGCAGTATTTTCAGTTTTCTGCTAATATACTAGAACAATTTTGTCCATCTAATTTCTTCAATCACTACAGTCAGTTCTGCATCTAAATCTGGTCTATCCTCTGGTGACTTCAAGCTGATTAAGTCATGTTTCACCAGATTGTAGCAAAGCAAGAGATGACACTTACTACACATGTAAATAGCTGCAGTTAACACTGCCCTCAGATTTCCCTCACACTCTGCTTTGTTACCTTAAGGTACCCACCAAACTGCACTTGTCTCCTACAGCAGACAGTAGAACCCAAATGCACAAACTGATAAATGGATTATGAAGAGGAATATATAATGATCATTAACATTACTATGAATTTCGCATGGAAAGAACTGCAGCCACACTTGAAATGCCACAGCTTCATGAAAGGTTAGTAGATCCTTCAGCTAATCTGTACTATAAAACAAAAATGCTAAAAGCAAATTAAAAAAGTAAAAGGTTTTCGTTGGTAGTTTTTTTTTTTTTTTTTGGGGGGGGGCGTTGGTCTTAAATGGAGGAAAAAAGAATACTCCACATCAAATTCTTCTCCTTGAAGAATTTTTCAGTCAGGTTTAAATTAGAATTCATCCTAATTGTCTAAATAACCTGCTAAATAACACTACACACAATTTCAACAGCTCTTTATATCTTAAAATAGCTTTCAAAATGAGAAGTTGTCATTTGAGGTATGCACACAGAGCATAAGGTTAAAGGTTATTAAAGGTAGTCAAGCTCATATAAAAGCACAAGCAACCAGTTACGATGATGAACAACGACAAAACAGCTGTGCTCCTTGACTCATTCAAACGAAAACCTACACAACCACGAGCCAGGCCTCTGATTACCCAGCTCCTCTCCAGCAGAAGACTTTATCAACATCTGTGTGCAGGCTATCATACAGACACAGATCGTGCAAGGACTTAATTTTCAAGAAGCAGGTGTTTTCTCAAAAGATATGGGTTGACTGATAGGAAGTCTGTGCATGCAAAAACCAGAATCACAGACTCATAGAATGGTTTGGGTTGGAAGGGACATTAAAGATTATCTGGTTCCAACCTCCCTGCCACGGGCAGAGACACCTTCCACTAGACCAGGTTGCCCAAAGTCCCATCCAACCTGGCCTTGAATGCTTCCAGGGATGGGGCATCCACAACCTCTCTGGGCAACCTGTTCCAGAGCCTCACCACTCTCATAGTGAATAATTTCTTCCTCATATCTAATCTAAATTTACTCTCTTTCAGTTTAAAGTCATTACCCCTTGTCCAGTCACTAGGAATCATTGTCTCCTGTGTAATACCTTTGATATTTTTAGGAAAGATAAGGGAGGAGTATTCAAAATAAATTACAAAAAAATTAAAAAGTATTTCATGAAGCTAAGGTGTTCTGACAAGTTCCTCATTTCTATGCAAGGAGAAATGCTACCGCTACAGCAACATGGAGTCTAATGACTGAGATATTCACCGTTCCACAGCGAGTGCTTTGTTAAGACCAAGAGTAAGAAGTCAAGACTTGGGTCAAAAATAGCTAGGTTGTGAAGCAAACTCAAGTTACCTATGCCCCTTATTGTGACACAAGGAAAGACTAATTTTTCGTCTCTCTCAAAGAAATCATGTCTGCTTCCTTTTGAGGTATGCAAATGTCAGGTCTTGCCTTCCCTGTTTTGATGGAGGAGTCTCTGGAGAACGCCAACAGAAGAGTAACACAACGGCAGGCTGACACCTGACACTTCCCATTTGCCCTCTCATTACAACGAGAGTTTAATAAGGTAACACCTTCTTTAACACCATGACCCACTGCAGTTCCCCACAGGCTTCTCTAGCAAATACTATAACGTTAAGCTCATATTTTTATGAAATAAATTTTAGAAAATAAGCAGAAATTATTCTAAAACAAACATGCAAAACAATATTTCTACATATTAGGTTTTAATCATTTCTTACTCCTTGCCTGCTGTGAAGACAAAAGTTGTGAGATGTTTTCAGGCGTTGAATGAAGCTCTATTTAACATCATCTTTTTAGATAGAGAGGATGAAAAACCAAACACCACTAAAAAGGGGAAAAGGAACAAAACTAACATGTAACAGAAACATTCTGGCTTACTTCAAAGTATTTTAAAAAAACCTACTTTGTCCAGTCTGCTGGAGAACAAGGATTCTCAGGTTATGGCAATGATACTCAAATCACTCTGAAGTAGTACATAAATTGAGAAACCATGATCAGGAAGAGAGGGCTGCAAAAGCTAACAAAATGCTGTAGCATCTACTACTATGCTTTTGGAGGATGCCCAACAGCTGTGAGATGGTGCTTCTAAGTAAGAGAACAAAAGGGCTGATGCTGGATTTAGCCAATGTCATTGACACAGTAGCTGATGTCAAATTTAAGGTGCTTGAAAACACTGTTATTAAACAAGCATTTATTTAATAAATGTTCCCAGATGAAACAATTCTTTGTACCTCTTTTTTTTTTTTTTTAATTTTAACTTTTTTTAATGAATGAGAACTGCTCTCTCCCTTGCTATTTTCTAAAGGTTGTGCAGGGTGCATTATTTTCACGAATTTTCAAAATACTTAGCTCATCAATAAAAGAACAATTATCTCTTGAAAGACAGCCACTGCCCACAAATAAGTATTTTTAATCAAACTTTGAAAGAAGTCAAGAATTACCTTCCATTAGATTTCCTTAAACCTTTTAAAGAGACTGGTTACCTTTAAAGTAAAACAGCTATTGGGAAAGATAGATAAGATGCAAGTGTTACCTACTCCATCAGCCTATGAACTTTTCTTTAACTTTTAAAGGGATTACAAAAGATTACACACACAAAAAAAGCAAACCAACAACTAAAAACCCAAAGCCCAGCTGCCTGTCAATCTCAGAACTGTCTATTTTCGAAGGTCTTGTCCCCAGCTTCCACGTGCAGGTTACCGCCTCTGAAAGACAGCCTTTGATGTAGCACAGACTGCAAGAAAGAGACCTGAGGAATCTTTATCTGATCTGTAAAGATCAACTCCCTAGAAGGCCTATTCATCCTCCAGCCTTCATTTTTGTGCGCATATGTCATATCTTTATCTCCTCCTAGCCAGCACAGAATTCTGTCAACTAATGGCCCAATTACAATTATATTCAGTACAATGAAATCAATCTTTCTTTTGTGTTTCTCACTCTCCTTTAAGTATTTTATCTTGAAAATAATATGTGACTACCCCTTGATATATTAAGCTACTACAAAATGTGTAAGCTTAGAGTTATTAGACATTAATAGCCTCTCAAAGCTTTCCA